TTCCAAGCATTCGCGATCTACAAGAGGCAGCAGTTATATTCGAGAGAGTACCGTGATGCTGTGTTTACATGTCACGTTACATTACCATGCCCAAGAACTTCTCTATCAAACTTGAAATTGATTTTTCTTTAAAAATCATGTCTTAAAAACAAAGTTACTGAATCGAGTCCTAACTACATCACTTGAATGAGTAGCCTGTTGTGTAAGTTATGGTTCACCACAATTATTAGTCAAGGGAAATGAAGGGTTTTGCTCTTGGGGTCTTCCTTGAGCTAACTCAAATTCTGCCACATATAAGCACATTTTCATGGATCAAGTCCCCCTCATCTTGATATTTGGAAGGCACTTACTTTTGTTATAGCAGTTTCCACTTTGGGGGCCCAGCAATTTGAAAGATCTCGTATCAAACAAATATGAGGTTCTTTGGAGTTTAAAGCCTAGAAAAAGATTTTTTAAAGGAAGAGGGGGGCATAAAAAGAAAAATAATGTTAGACAGCAACTGGAAGGAAGAACACAATAAAGGTGAGAATGAAATCTCACTTAATGTATACATGGAAAGCTTCGACACAAAACTGCTGGCCAACATCACCAGTCAGACCCATGGCACTCGAGCAGAAAGCGGGTAAACTCTAAAAACACAGGGCACCGCATTTAGTTTCTTCAGGGATGAAGTGCTTAACATTTTTTCACATTATAGTTTTAAAAGCTCAACCGTGTTAAAACGTAACATATTCTGAAACTATCAGCTGGAGAAACCGCCCTTATAAAGAATAATCTGTGCGCACATTCACAAAACAAGGTCCTAACCTAAAATCCCCCACTACGATCCTTTCCAAAAGCAAATCAAATACTAGTGAGTAGTGCTGCTCCATTAAGAAAATGCTGAGAAAGGACTTAGGATGAATTCCCTCGGCATTACGTCAAAGGGGCGGAGGGGGGTCAGATGCAGCAAAGTATGGATGTACCCATTTATAGCTTAAGGCTATCTATCTAGTTCTGTCTGCCAGTATGAGGGGGGTTTTCATTATCTTTTAATTCCATTTTCCCACAAATATTCTGAAGCCCATTTGTATGATCAACCAGTTATCGCCAGAGAAATATAAAACAGTGGCATTAGTAATGAACCACGTGGAGGCTGATATTTCACAGCTTACATGTTTCTCATTTTTAGTAAACCATGTATATTAATTTAAAAATCTGAATAAAAGTTTAATCATCTAGTCACAGTTCTCACTCAATATA